TCCCCTTTCCCACCTCCTTTTCCCAGTCTCCCCCAGTTTTGTTCAATAAAGACAGATTCCATTTTTGAACACAATTGTCCTTTATTTTGTACATTAAGAAGAGGGGCTAGGGAAGGGTAAGTGGAAGGACGTGAGGGAGGAATGGGGTACGCGCCCCCGATGGGGAGGACTGGGCTGGCTCTGCGGGCTTCTGGGGGTGGAAGCTCTCCTGCAGCCCCCCAATTGCCTCCTCTCCCCAGAGGGCAGCCTGCGGCAAGTGCAGCCGGGCTGATGGCCGAGTGCTGTGATGTGCCCAGTGTGGGTAGTCCGGGCAATTCAAGCCAGGACTGCTTTGCAAGCGGGGCACCCCTGAGAACTGTCTGTCCGGGGTGGGGGTCAGGACCCTTTAAGCACAGCCCTCGGCTAGCCTGAGACAGCAGCTCCACGCTCTAAGTCCTCCTCTGATGCCCTGCCGGCACTGCTTCCGGCCATCCTTAAGCGTGGTTCAGGGTCCACTTAATGTGGACATGCTAGTTCGAATTAGCAAAACGCTAATTCGAACTAGATTTTTAGTCTGGATCCGTTAGTTCGAATTAGCTTAGTTCGAATTAACTAATTCGAACTAAGTTAGTTTGAATTAACGTTGTAGTGTAGACGTACCCTGGGTAAAAAAGCACACGTGGGTCTCACAGGTCAGTTCTTGGTGGGGTGACCTCCGGGGCCAACGCAGACGGGAAACGCCCTGTGCTCTTTCCTCAGGGAGTTCGGAGCATCCTCCCCTTCTAAAGGACGTGGCTCTGCGGGAGCAGACGACAGACCAGCCTTCCCTGTGAGCCCTGCGCTTGTGCGACTACTCAGGAGTGATTCAAATGGGAGTCCGCATGTTCACACGTGCCTTGGTGCATTCACACGTGCCTTGATGCACATTCACACGTGCCTTGGTGCACGTTCACACGTGCCTTGGTGCACGTTCACACGTGCCTTGGTGCACATTTACATGTGCCTTGGTGCACGTTCACACGTGCCTTGGTGCACGTTCACACGTGCCTTGGTGCACAACAACATTTTATTCTGCACATGGATGGAAAGGATTAGAGGGAACCTTGCCCAGGACCCCCTGCTTTGCACACAGGAAAGACCTGGTGGCCGTTTTTGCAAGAGCCCGGACCTGTTCTCCCTCCGTGACTGAAAGTCGTAACCTCCCATCACAGTCGTGGAGAACGGCACCAATCACTGGGGTCTGGGGACGCCCCCCCGCCACCCTCCCACCTCCGAGGAGCCCGCGTTTCAGGAGGGGGCGCGTGGATCCTCGGGCGTCGGGTGGGGATGCCAAGGGAGAGACGGGATGCGGGGCCCTTGGAACACAGAGGGCCCCGGGTCCAGGCCTCAGAGCACCACGCTGACAGCGACGCCATTCTGGGCGGGGACGACCTTCTGCCGGAAGGTGAACATCTTCTTCAGCTCGCTGCGGAAGCGGTCGTGCAGCCAGGCGTAGAGGAAGGGGTTGCAGCAGGAGGAGCTCATGGCGAACCAGTGGCAGAGCAGCTGGAGGAGCAGGAAGTAGTGCTTGTTGATGAGGTTGATGTCGATGTCCCGGATGATGTTGAAGACGTGGATGGGGAGCCAGCAGACCCCGAAGGCCGCCACCACCAGCACGAGGAGGCGGAAGATCTTCCTCTTCCTCACCCGGTCGAACTCTGCCTGGCTCTGGGTCGGGTGCCCGGGCACCACCCGGTTCCTCAGCTTGACCGTGATGCAGATGTAGGAGAGGGAGACGGCGGAGAGGGGCAGGATGTAGGTGATGATGAGGGTGCTGTAGGCGTAGGCCAGGCGCTCCTCCTCCTCCTCCATCCAGAACTCCTCGCAGATGGCAAAGCCTTCCTTCTGGAACTCCACGTGGTACGTGTGGGCGATGGCGGGGGCCACCAGGGCGCAGGACAGCAGCCAGATCCCGCCCACCACGTACACGCAGGTGGGGACGGAGATGCGCTTCCTCAGCGGGTGCACCGTGGCGTAGTACCTGCAACGAGAGGGAGAGAAGGGGGGTGAGTCTCGGCCCCCAGCGCTGCTCTCCCGGGAGCCCCGCCACAGCGTCGGGCCCGGCTCCTGGCGAGACCCAGCTCAGGCCTCGGCAAGGTACGGGAAGGGGCTTCCTGCGGGAGCTGGGGCGGAATCCAGCTGAGCTCAGATTGCTCTCGGAAGGTCTCTCCGGTGCTGCCGTTTGCTCCGTGGGCAAAGGAAGGTGCAGCTGGAGCAGTTCACAAGCGTTCTGGTGACCAGCTGCATGGACCAGCTGCAGGCCCGCCAATGGGGGAGGGGGAATGGGGCGCTTGCCCCCTGCCCCGGGCCTTTTAAAATTGTGTCACTGCAAGCACCGGGCAGCACTAAGGGCTGGTGGGGGGGCAGGCACGGTGCTGAGGGTTAGCTCAGGCCCACCCCTTCTCAGTTGGTTTCTCCTGTTTGCCTCATTCCAAGGCACGAGAACAAAAGGGCATTCGCTGAATTAAAAAAATTAGAAGGTTAAAAAATAAATGACATTTTTTTTTTAGAGCATCAAGTTTCTACACTGATGAAAGGAGAGAGAAGGCAGTTCATTCTGTGTTAACCTTTGGAACTCACCGTCACAAGATTTTATTAAGGCAAAGAGCGAGTGTGGTAAGACCAGCATCTGCCAGCAGTTGCATGAGCTAAGGTAAAATTACAAGAACTACCTTCCAGGTTTCAGGGTCTAAACTGTTCACTTGAGGGTCTAATAAAAGCCATTTCCTGCTGTAACGTATATATGTAGTACAGCTCAGCAAGGAGAAGTGCCTCTCCTCAGGCATCCAGCCCTGGCAGCCATCTGAGACAAGCTGTCAGACTCGATGGGTTCTTGCTCTACTCTAGTTCTACCTGCTTCAGCTTGTGCCACTCGTTACAATCCCTGGAGCTTCTGGCAGCTCTTAGCCGAGAAAACGCCTCCTGACTCCGGAGGATGAGCTGTGGTCAAATCCCACGGCTGAGCACAAACGCTCCAAAGGAGATTCCCCCCCGCTCCCAGGCTGTCATTTTCGAGTTAGTCAAACATTTAACGGCTGCTTTCCGTGTTTCAGGCACGGTGCATTTCTACTGCGATACATTCAAGCTGAGCCGGAAACGATCCCCTTCCCGCGCCACACGGCCGCCAGCCCCTAAGAGCTGTGATTATCGCCGCAGAGGCACCGCCACCGAATTAGCCGCGGAGAAAAGCTTTTAATGCAGAAGAATGAAGTAAGAGGGGCTTTGCTTTTCTCCACGGCGAGGCCTTGTGTCAAACAGTGGGCTCCTGCCGATGTCTCCAGAAAGCCCCGGCCGACGGGAACGCTGCCCAAGCAGCCCTTTGTGCAAAGCTACTCTGAGCCGTACTCCGGCCACATTTTAAACCAGACTAACAACCCCGCCTAATTCAGCTGGGGGAGAACTCGGAGAAAATCCCAAGAAGCGCAGAGATCAGCTCGGCCTTCCCACAGCGCTGCCCTGTGGGATGCTCACCCACAATGCTTTGCTCTGTCTGTCCCCGGGGGCAGCCATGGAATGTCGACAATGAGAGGCCGAAAAAAACCCTTGGACCAGTTTTCACTTTACCTGTCGGCAGCACGTTTGTGGCCAAACCTGCCCGGTGTAGACGCAGCCCTTGGAGCGCCCGGAAGCATGTGCTGAGCTTGTGTTAAGTCCTCCTGAAGTCAGCAAGACTCAAGCCCAGTGGAACGTTGCACTCACGGGCGTTGTAACTGTGGGAAGGTGCATGAACCGGGACGCATTATGACTTTCGTGGGCCCTAGGCACTTTTGCGTTTGTGGGCCCCTTCCGCCATAAAAAAAAGTATTAAAAATTATTTTTGATATCACTTTAAATATTTCAACATTTTTTTTTCTATTTTAGACAAAATGTAATAGATTTTTGTGGGCCCTAAAAGTTTCATTTTTTCCTGATGTGAGAAAAAAATTAACACGTTTTCTTCGACCGTAAAAGTTCTTTTTTTTCCTTCTGATTTTAAAAGAAATTAAAACATTTTCGTGGGCCCCAGGCACTGTGCCTACTGTGCCTAATGGATAAGTCGGCCCTGTGCACGAACTCAAGAGAGTGGGGATGGAGGAACATTAACCGCAGAGAACTGACTGACTAATGAGCCTGACTCACCGTTGCACTAGTTAGCTTCACCCTGGCGTGACTCATCTGGAATGAGTGAGGTGACACGGGCACGAAACACGAATGAGGTGTGAATCAGGCCGTATATCGGCGGCAGATAAGGTCCGGCCCGTGGGCCGAATCCGGCCCACCAAGCCTTTTCATCTGGCCCTAGGGCACAGAGCAGCGCCTCGCCTCTCACGGCTCCATGCGGCTCTCTGCGCCCCGAGGCTGCATGCACTGACCCTGACCCCAGCACAACCTCTCAGCTCCTATTGGCTGGAAGCTGACCAATGGGAGCTGAGAGACAGTGTGGCGGTGGGGGCAGCATGCAAAGCTTTCTCCCTCCTCCCCCCGGCATGTGGTGCAGAGTCACATGGAACAGCCAGACGCTTTGAGCAGTCTGGGGCTGCTGGCAGGCAGGGAGCCTGCCTGAGGGTCCTGCTGGGCTGCTGGCTGGGAGCCGCCTAGGTAAGCACCTCCCAGACAGAGCCTGCCTCTGGCACCCCACCCCCTCCTGCACCCCCACTCCCTGCCCAAGTCACCATCCAAACCCTCTTCCCCCCTCAGGTCACAACTCCCTCTTAGACCCTGTACCCCCTCCTCCAACCCTCCTCCAGGCCAGAATCCTCTTCTGCACCCATCCCCCCTGCCGGACCCTGCCCCCAAGCCCCTGCCCCAAGTCACCCCTCCTCCTTCACACAAACTTCCTCTCGGCCCCCAGCCCCTCTCCTGCACCCCAGTCCCCTACCCTGAGCCCCTTCTGCACCCGACCTCTGTCCCAGACCCTGCACCCCCTCCATAGAAAAGTGTGGGCCCTTGATCACTTACCAAAATCTTGGAGTGCCCCCATTGAAAACTATTGCCCACCCCTGCCTTGTACCGATAAATGGGACGCAGCCCTGAAGACTTCTGGTGATGGGCACAGGCAGAGCCCGATAGGTCTTTTCAGTAACGACACTTCCCATTCCAAGCGCCTGTAGCTTGGACGTGCCGGGGACTCGCTCCCTCGCGCTGCTGTGGGGAAGGAAACGGAGCAGTTCACATACGGCTCCCGGAGCCCGGGGGCGGTTCCAAAGGGGGCTGTGAATTCCGTCGCCCCTTCATCGTCGGGGGCAGCGGGGATCGAATTCCTGGCGCCTGCTGCATGGGGGCGGGGCCACTCCAGGCCTCTCCCGATCAAGCCATTCGAGAGCAAGAAACAACTGACCCCAGCCGGGGCCAAAGCTGGAGGTTCTGACTCAGTCCTCACTCGGGCAGGCCTCCCGGGAACGTCTGCCGGAGCAGAAACCGAGGGAGGGCCTGTGAATTTGGCCCATAGGCACGAAGGGCCAGATCCTCAAAAGGGCTCCCAGGGGGCTCAGTGGAACCCCCCCCCCCAGGGTCTGACCCTGTGCAGAGCTGAGCACCCTCCAGAACCATCCTGAAACCCACAGCGTGAGCCAGATCCAAGAGCCCCTTCCTCCGTTTCATACCTGCGCCGGCTCCCTTGTGCAGCCCTCGTAGGGGAACACCAAGCGGGGGTTACGGCAGAACCACCCCCTCCCGGTTGTTACACGACTTCCCCTCCTTTCCCCCGCGGGGCCCCAGAATCTGCACCGCAGCAGGGCGGCTGCAGAACACACGGACCCCTCAGCTGGGGCGACCGAGACAGTGCGGCTCCACGCACTGCCCAGAACTGGAGGAGACAGCTGCAGCAAAGGGGAACTGCAGGGAAATGAGGAGAGGGAGGGAAATTCCTATTCGCTGGGGCCGAGACGCGGGGACTCCCGGCTGTGTCCGGGACAATGTCGCTAGCACCTCTCGCTCACGGAGGCCCAGCCGCTGCACACACCCGGAGCCTCTCACGCTCGGCAGCGGATTCCCATCGTACACAACAAGTTCAAGGCTGGTGTCCAGACGCGCCCAGCGCCCCCTCCCACACCTGTAAGGGGCCAGACGTACAGACGAGGGAGAACTACAGCGGGTTGGAAGAACGTCAGTGGAACCCCCGGGCAAAATGCAGTGGTCTCAACTTCAGAGCCGTAGCGTACGCCCCCCCCTTTTGTTTGAGGGAGGGGTCAAAGGCTCTCAGCAGTGAAAAACAACCGGTTTGATGTTTCGTTCGGAAGCAACTCTTTGCTTTGAATTGCTTCGCCTCGAGTATTGTGTATTGACCGTAAAATCAGAACATCAACGTCTTCCTTCCTAGAGCATTTTGAAATGTGCAGGCTCTCTTCTGATTTGAAGCAGAAAAGCCACCTGAAAGTGCAGGACACCCTCACTGCCCCTCAGGTTAAGGAAGAGCTTTGTCTCAGCACATTTGTTAAACATAATTATAATATATTAATACAACTAAATCACTCTAGGCCTCAATTTTCCTAATCTGTAAAATGGGGATAATCATTTTGCCCCCATTGTCGTTACAGTGCTGGGAGGGTTGTTATAGTAACATTTCCGCATTTGAAGATGCACAGTGGGATTGATGGAAGGGCAAGTAGTAAGATTTATAAATATTTACTGAAATTACGAAATGTTCAATTTCGTTTCATCTCCAAAACGATCCTTTTTCTGTGCAAAAACCTGGCCTTTTTGCTGAAAATCATTTTTCACAGTGACTCATGCAACCTGCAAAGCGTCCCACATCCTGACGCAAGGCAAAGCCACCGCGAGGCAAACCCGTTGTTTGACGAAAAGCTACATTCTGAGGCTGCGAGATGGGCTGCCATGAAATGACGAAGATTCCTTAGTGATATTTCATGAAAAATTGTTGCTATTTTGAGGCCAAAAAATTCCTAAGGAACGTCCTCGCCCAGGGGCGCCGACAGTTTCTGCAGGTCCCTGCCAAGGTGTGTTGGGGAGGCAGCTCTCTGCCCCTAGAAGAGGCAGGACCTCAGTCAAGGGGGCAGGGCTGGGGCAGCCAGCCCTCATCACCACCTGGAGCACAGCATGCCCCTCCCCAGTGTGGCACTCTGGCGGCAATTTAAAGGGCCGGGGCTCCAGCCACCATCACAGTAGCAGCGGAGGCAGCCAGGGCCCCGGGCCCCTTTGAATCACCAGGCCCCAGGGCAGCCCCCCTTTTTCCCCCCTGTCGGCGAGCCCGCCCTCACCCACATCCAACGAGGGTAAACCATCCTTCCCTGGGGGCTGGCTAGGAACGAGAGTTACCTGTCCACCGCGATGGCCGTGAGGGTGAAGACAGACACGTAGACCGTCATCGGCTGCATCAGGAACACGAAGTAGCACAAGAACTTCCCGAAGACCCAGCCCTGCGGGTTGAAGGCGTAGGCCAGGGTGAACGGCACGCAGGTGGCGCACATCAGCATGTCGGAGAAAGCCAAGTTCCCGATGAAGAAGTTGGTGACGTTGTGCATCTTCTTGGTCCTACAGATGACGTAGAGGAGCAGGTAGTTGCCGAAGATGCCGACGAGCACCACGAGGGCGTAGCAGGGGATGATGAGGGGTTTGAAGGACTGGATCAACTGGACGCCCGTAAATTGAGAGCTGGAATTGGAGCTGTTCTTGAGGACGATCGCATAGATGCTCTCGTTGGTCGGGACCTTGTCCCAACTCTCGAGAGGCTCCATGACTCCCAGTCAACTGAGAAGCCAACTTAGACAAGAGCAGAAGGGGTCGGCATTAGTGACTTTCGTTACGGGGTGTAACCAGGGCTCCGTTCACCTGCAGTCCCTAGACACAGGAACCCCTGGGCATGTCATTTATGGCTGAATCTGTTCTGGGGGCGTCTCTTTTAGCTGGAGCAGGAGGTCAGGCGTGGCTTGCAGTCCTGAGTCAATGTCTCAGCTTTGCAGAGCGTTTCCAGCCACGTGTGAGGATCCCTGTGCAAACAGGTATTCCGGTCTCACCCGCCGAGCCTCCTCTGGGCTCGGCCACTCACACTCACACCCCGAGAGTCGCACGGAAATGTCTTCACGGGGCACCAGGTCTCACCCACTGTTTCTGCTCCAGCTGCAAAACTGAGGCCAGTTCGGTTCCCTTCAGTCCTGTCCCTGGAGCTGCCTCGTAACCTGACCTCTTGGTCTCCAACGTCCCCTGCTTCGTTTGCCTGGCTCGACTGCAGGGATTTGTTCGACAGAGCCCTGGGAAAGAAGGTGAGGAAATGGAGCTTTAGATGAGGAGGGATTCGGATTCAATAGTCCTCTGGGGATAAATGGGACACGTCCCAGAAGAGAGGGCTAGGCCCCAGAGCTAGGATTGGAAAGAACGACAGAAATCAGTGGACACAGAGTCCGATTGTGTCTTGGGATACAAATCCCTCCACATCACCCCCACCACGCGTGTCCCTTCTTACCCAGGAAAGCTCACAACCTAATATTTTTGTTGGGCTCTCAGGTGCCACAGGACTGCTTCTTAGCCTTGTCTATCTGGGAGCTTTGGCCAGCCAGGGCACGGCCCCACGGACAAAGCCCTCCCGCTGGTAGAGTCGATACCATGAGAACGTCTGCTGTACCCCACGCAGGGCTGTATACAGCTCGCTTCCAGAGACAATTCCCGGATTGCTGCTGTCACTCAGAGTGCACACACACAGGGGCACTCCGGATTCTGCAGGTTTGATTTTGGTCTGAAAATATATGTTTTTCCCACAAAGCAGCTCATATTATTTTTCAGTCTGATCTGACACGCACTGTTCTAATGCCTAGTCTCCCGCGCTTCTGTGGAAGAGCCTTTTTAGTAAAGGTCACCCTTTTTTTCCCTTCCCCGAGCCCCGTCATTTTTCTTTCTCAGCTAATTATTCCACTCTGTAAACTCTACAGCAAAGTCTTATCTAGTTCAATAGAACAAAACCCACATGCTTTCTATAGGTGTTAGGAAACTGAAGAATTCTAGCCCTGCTCTAGAATTCCATAGGATGGCTCGCAAACCCGATAGAAAAAGCTTAGTAGACTCAGTGAAATCGACCAGATTTGTAGACGGATTTCTATTGAGCCCGGATGGTTTGATCCTTTTTTTAATTGTGCAGGACTTCTTATAAATGCAAGTATCAAATATTGTATCAATTGTGCAGGATGCTTTCAAAATAAACAATGCTAATAATAATAAAGGCAATTGTAAAGTATTATTTCTGTGAATCCCTAACAGATTTTGCATCATAGACGCATCCACAAACCTTTCCACTCTGCTCCCAGATATGACCTGCGGAAAGGAACTAGCTGGCTCAACAACAGGATGAATCCTCCTTTACATTTTTCCTTGCCTCTGAGAGGATACCAAACAGCCAGACACCCTCTGCTCTGTCTCCGTTGTCCCCGCGCGGACATTTCTGCATCGAGACTCCGGTGGTCAGGAACTAAGTAACTTCTCCAGCGCAGTCGCATCCGACACCAGAACCGGTCCCACCCAAGAGGCACAGTGCTTGCTCACTACTGGGTTGATGCTCCCAGAGCATTTAAAAGAAAAAGAAAAACCTGCATCTCCATTTGGGTGGAATATTCCATCTACACATGCAAATCCCAGAGCCCTGACATTCTCTACTGACCTGGTGCAGAGTGAAGGCAGGGAGCAACGGCCCCCAGCAGCCGTGGTCGATCCTGGAGGGGTTTGTGGGTCAGACGGAGGAAGAGAATTCAGCCTGCTCTCGAATCCTTCGGGGCTCTGGATTCCAACTATGCTCACCTCGGTGTGTTGAACTTACGGAGAGCCATGCTTCCAGCCCGCTCGCTCCCCCATCTGGCTGCTGTCGCTCCCTGCTCCTTCCCAGAACAGCAGCACGAGTTTGATTCTCAGTTGGCAATTAGAAGTGACTCCTTTGAAGCCGGAGGAGGTGGAGCGAAAATCCCAGGCTGATGCACTCAGCCAGAGATGTCAAAGGCCTTCTTTGCTCACCCCCCAAAAGCCCTTCTCAGTGGGGCTTAATTTGTGCCAGGCACCTCTGGGTTCAGCCGTTCAACGTCCCAACCCTCTGGGCCAGCCCAAAGGACTTGAACTACGACTTTGAAGCCCCCCTCCATTCAGTAGAGAGAAAAACGAGACGTGTGGAATGAAATGTTACCTTTCTTTACTTGGCATTCGGAATGAACAAGGTGAAAATAAAAAGAAGGAGTTGTACTGATTGCTTTCTACTTTTCGTTAATCCGAACGCAATCACACTGGAGAGGGGGGAGCCGCTCAGGAGCTGATGCTTTTGGAACCGTTTTGAGCCGTGCAGTGTTTCTGGGCAGCGCTCTAGACAGCTGCATTTCAAGCTGCTACCGTCCTCCTTCCAAAGGAACTGATTTTGGGGAAGCAAAAATCTTTATTCCTTGATACCGAGGGAAGTCTGGTTTTGAGGGCTTTGCGCTGGACGGTCGATCACAGCTCATAACATGGCAGAACTGCAGTTATGGGTTGCTGACTGGCTTTCACTATGGCCAGGCCTACACTAAGGTGTGGAACTCCAGCAATGTAGAACCCGCCAATCGTCTTCCTTTACTCCTGGCAAGAGCAGGAGTACTGAACGCTGGCAGGAGCGCCCTCTGAGTTCGATTTAGCGGGTCTTAACTAGACTCGCTAAATCAAACTCTGGAAGATAGATTGCGGAAGTGTCGATCTTCCGTGGAGTGAAGACGTGCCCTACGTGGCGAGCAACACTGACTCGGCTGTGTGACTGGCCAGCACTGGTCTGGACCACTGCGAATGACTGAGCGGCCAGACCTCACCCCGAGATTGCAAACCCAGGCAGCGCTCTTTGGAAGCTTGGCTGTGCCGTGCTTTAACTATATTTACATACACAGTGTGAAATCAATAACCCGACTTCTGACATGGCGACGATGCCCTGCTGGCAAGTACAATATTTGATATTTGCAATCATAAGAAGTAACACGAATTGTAATATATTTGTATAATAGTGTGTACATTATAAATATAGTCGTATATTTTATATACCATTTAATATTTTTAAATAGAGAAGAAAGTCACTTCTGTCTAATCTGGTGCCCCCCACCGCCTGGCGGCCTAGGCAACCTCCTCGTTCGTACATGGCTGGGCCGGCCCCACCCCGGGGTTTGGCATCTCTTGCTTGGGGCATCAGTTTTGAAAGTAAAAAAATGGCTTGAGCCCTGCGCCTCGGCCAGTACAGGTCCGCCCGGCTTTTCGGTGAGGTCCGTGAACCAACAGCGACGTGTTGAACAAGGGACAGTCAAAGGCCAAGGGAGCAGCTAAGGGACAAGCCCCGTTTTCAGGCAGAGCCACAGAAAGTTCAAACCCCTCATCAGTCCAGTTCCAGCTGGTAACACTAGTGCCACCGACGTTTCATCTCACGGGCACATGAGTGTCCATTCAGCTACCGTGTTCCACCCCAGAGGTGGCCACATTTCAGCCACGGGTGAAAGGATCCCAGGGTACTGGGAGTCTTTGGGTGTGTCTAGACTACAGAGTTTTGTCGACAAAAGTGGACTTTTGTCGACAAAACTATACCTGCGTCTACACTACCACTGAGTTCTGTCGACATAACGTCGACAGAACTCAGCAGTTTTGTCGACGCTGGTAAACCTCATTTTACAAGGCATAACGCCTTCTGTCGACAGAGTTCTGTCAACAGAAGGTGTTATTGCATGTAGGGTTGTGTCTAGACTACAGGGTTTTGTCGACAAAGCAGCTTGCTTTGTCGACAGAACTGAATGTAGTCTAGACGCTCTTTGTCGACAGAAGCTTTGTCGACAGTATCTGTCGACAAAACTTCTGTCAACAAAACCCTGTAGTCTAGACGTACCCTTTGGGAGGAAGAATCTTCACAACACCTGGTTTCTTACCCCGCATCTCCTTTCCCATTGCTCGTTCAATTCAGAGCTTGCTCACTAAGGGTGCGTCTACGCTGTACCGGGACTTGAAATAAGATACGCAATTTGAGCTACACGAATCGCCTCTCTTATTTCGATGCTATTTTGAAATAGCTTATTCTGTCATTAGGCGCGGTCTACACAGCGCCACATTTCAAAATAAAGCGCTGTTCCGAAACGTCCCTTACTCCTCATGGAATGAGGGTTACAGGCACATTGGAATAGCGAGCCCGAAATAACGGCGTGCTGGGAAAACGCAGGATAGCGGTGTCGGGACACTCCAGTGTCTTGAAATAGCCTTTCAGGGAGGATGTAGCCTAACAGTGGTTTGAATTCCTGAAAAACAAACCCAAAGCGACTGTTACCCTACAGCGCCTTCTGCTTAAACTCATTCCCCATCTCGTCCGAGCGTCACGTAATCTGAGCCACTCGGATTTAACACCCCCCCCAACATCTGCCCTTTAGCGTGATCAGTTTTAACTGCGTTAGGCAGGCAGCTGGAGAACCTGATTGTCACAATTCTGGGCACCCTCCCCCCGACTCCCCAGCCATCTCCTCTCTTGGGTGCAGGCAGCATCCCCCTGCCTCCCTCCCAGGCTAGTTCTGGGTCACCCCGTTTCTTGCCTGCACTCTGAATTTCCAGCAGTCAGACAGCCTCCGCAGGCCTCCCGCGACTGCCTCGGAGAGAGCCCAGGGCAAGCGGCGCCGGGAAGTCCCCACACGAACTCCTTCCCTCTTAGTCCCGAGGGAAACGCAAACACGGGAAAGCAGAGAAAGAGCCGCCACGCCGGGGGCCGCCCCACCTGCCACGAGGCTCTGGCCGGCGCAGTCCCACCACGAGCCTGTGGTCACGAGTTCAGGAGACGCATCCCAGGAACCTGAGAGTTCATTTTTTCATGCCATTTGGGCCTTTTGACCCTGGAAATCAGCAAGTTGCCGGCCACGGCCTGCTGCCCGGGGCGAGCGGAGAGCAGATCCGAGACAGACATTCGCGTCCCCTCCTCCCACGTATCTCCTAGGAAACCTACCCCAGGAATGGAGGATTCTGATCCAAGCCCCTTGGTGAGAAAAGCTCTCTGAAGCTCACGGCCCTTCGCAAAGCTTCTTCTCATCATGTCTCCTAGACGAGTTCCCTACGATCCCCCAGCACCCCCATAAATTTGCGTCATTCCCTGAAGACAGCGACACTTCGTTCAACAGGGTTTAACTTCATGCAACCAGGTTTGTCCAGGGTGTTGCGGGGAATCGTCACATTGACTGATCGGTGCCGGGGAGAGACCCGCTGGCCCCCTGCGTCTTTCATCCCCAGCTGAGATCTGTGAAGACAACTCCAGGGCTACGTTGTAGCCACTTCACAACTTACAGCTCTCTCCCTGGAGAGCGTCCGGCTGTCAGGAGAGCGATGGGTTTGGAGTCCAGAGGAGACCAGATGTCTGAATTCTGACAGGCCGCGTCCTTGGGGACAAGACTTTCCTTATCTAGGGTTGCCAGATGGTTTACCAAAAAATACCAAACACCCCTCCTCCAAAAAAAAAAAAAGACACAGAGAAAAAATTCTGATGCGAACAAAAAAAGGGGGAGACCAAAGTTGTTAAACAAAAAAAAAAAGAGGGCGCTTTGCCTTTAAATGGCCCCGCACCCCTCACTCCGCCGCCACCGCCAGACGTGTCAGGGGAAAATTGTCCCCACTGGGCTTCTGTCCGAGGGAAACAGGAAATACCGGACATTTCACATGTCCAGTATTTTCTGCATTTTTTTTACCGGACGGGGGAATCTGAATACCCAACTGTCGGGGAGAAAATCGGACACCTGGCAACTATCCTTATCACGGCTAAGCCACGGGGCAACCGAGAGGAGATTGGAGGTCTCTGGCATGCGAGTCCCTGTTGCATCTGCTTCCGGGACGAGGCTTTCGTCTCGCTGTCTCCTTACTCATCCTGGATGGGAGCTCTGGCCAGCGCTCGCTCCGAGACCGGCCGCTGTGGGGAGCACGCAGACACCGTGGGGGAGCCGGCGCTTGCCAGAGAGCAATAGCTGAAACATCTTCTATGTGAAATAGAGACTCCGCCGCATCACGTCTGGGCTGGAGCGCCCTGCTGGCGTGAAGATGTGCTTCCCTTTCTTCCCCGCCGACTGCCTCTAAACCACAGAAGAGATTTCTTGTGCACAGAACCTCGCGAAGCGCTCTGGGGTTATTGTCTGCGTGACAGCCACACTACAGAATACAGGGCCGGCGGAGCGACATCTCTCTCCTAATGCTACTGTCGCTGAGTTTGCAGATAGCACCGTACAAGCCCAGACAGACCCTGGGCGTATATATGGAGAGCTGCCTCTCACCTCAGTCTCGGAGCCCTCACAGGCTGGGCCGGGCATCAATCCCCTTTCCACAGATGGGACCCGAGGCGCAGAGCCGATTAACGACCTACCCAAGGTCACACAAACCGGGTTTTCCAAGCCTGAGAGCAAGGCCCTTTCCTCCGGATCATCCTCCGCCGCTCCCACTTCCAGAGGGCAGCCACCTCTGAGGTGGAGCGCAGCAGCTGATGAAGAGCAGGATCTGAAGCCTGCTGAGGTCACTCAACGGACTGCCCCCCCTCGCCCCCGCCCCCAGGCTTTGGAGCCTGGCCCAGGAATGCACCGCATTGTAAAGAGCAGGTCAGTTTCCAGGGCTGGCCCGGAGTCTGAACACCCCCTTCAGCCCTAGGGGCCCACCCAGGCTGAGAGGAGGGACGTGGGGGAAGCCAAGGCCGAGGCTGCACCTGTCGTGCAAGGGAGGAATCTCCCCCCATCCTCCCTTCGCCTCCCCCAGCTAGGGCAGCAATGGCACAGGGGGTGGATTTCCCTCTGGATGATTTGAGGACGAAGGGCCCTGCACGGCTGTGCCTTGGACAGTGC